CCAAAATAAGTTAAAATATCTTGTTCATTAGCACGGATATGATATTAATGAATGTACATAAAAGCCAATATAGATTCTTGTAAATGCAATAATAAAGATTAATACTTTTCATTGACAATATCCATTAAAATGAAGATGATGGATAATAAATCTTTGCTATAAATGAACTAAAATTTATGAAAGATTTCATCCAACCTTCTATCTTTGCTTATAATTTTTGTATATTTGTTACACAAAGGAAATGAAAAATCAATAGCTAGCAGATTCAACTCAAGAATCATTATTTGTGGACTTACTGGATGAGATATTATAATTATTACAACCTTTAAGATGATTTAATAAAAAAAAAGACCTTCAAGAATAACATGTTTTTTTTCAAATAAATGGCAAGATACAATGCATTTGGTATAACAATCTTAGAAGAGACTTCTATTGTTTGGTGATTTTATTGGAGGTAGGAATGATTCCTAATAGTACTACAATTATTTTCGTTGAAGGAAGTTATGAAGTTTTTAATAATGATTAAATAATAGAGTGGTCTTTCCATCTTGAAATAAAACTTTATTAATAATTAAGAAGACCTATCAACTACTTTCAAAAGAAAAAACAATAAAAGTATGTGGAAAATATAATTTACTGCATCTTCGACTTCTTCAATGTGTGATTACTACTTTTTGTGGAAATTGTTCCTAAAAAAGAGAATAATATCATGAATATACTTATAATTAATTAAATAATATGAATATGTAGAAATAGATAAAATTAAGTTAATTTAATAATATCTTGTGGAAATACTTTTTAGAAGCTTTATAGACACAATTTTATCTTTATACATATCAATAGGTGATTGATATGTTAAAAACTTTGCCAATAAGTTAGTTAAATATTTCGTGTTATTGTATTACATGTGTTCTTGCTTAAAAATGTATGAGGCACCTAATTGTAGAAGATAAGTAGAAATGGAAGAAAAATCCTATCAAATCTAATAGAATCTTAAATAAAACTTAAATGAACCTTAATAATTCTAATAAAACTTTAATAAATTTAAAATAAATTTAAAAGAAGTTGTAAAATAATTAAAAAGGAATTTCAAATTAATCTCAAAGAAAATAATAAGAAATCTTAAAGAAATATAAAATAAACCTTTAAAGAAATAATAATAATCTTAAAAAATATTAGAAATAGAAAATTTTAAAGAAATAATAAGAATCCTAAAGATAATCTAAAAATGGAAATCTTAGTTGAATCCTAAATAATTCCTAGATCAAATCTTAATTGAAATCTTAATTGAACTTTAACCAAATCCTAGATCAAATCCTAATAAAATCCTAAATCCTAGACAAATCTTAGATAAACTCTAATCAATTCTTAGTAAAGTTCTAAATCAAATCCTAAGCAAATCCTAATTCTAACCTAAACCTAGATAAAATCTTAAGCCGTAAACAAACTATAGACAAACCTTAAATCAAATCTTTTAGTAAAATAGAACCTCAACAATTAATGATCAAACTAATGATATCAATTCAAAATTTGCACACTTTTTAATATCTTAGTTAGAAACAAACATAAGAAAGATGAAATTTATTGTACTTATCAATTGAAAGAAATATAAGATAATCCAATTAGGTATTATACGGCCTTCTACTCCAACTTGAATATTGAACTTCTAGTGCTAATATTTCCATCTTGAACCATTGAATTACTTTCAAATTTCACATAGATGTTAGAATTCAAGTCTAGTATTCATACAAAAACTTTTTGTTTCAATCTAGTTGACAAATTACTGAAGATCTTAGAAACACTCACTAACCCTCTAATTCCAATTTTTGAGACTTCAACCCACAAAAATCTTTACACACTTTGATCTAATTGTTCAATTGACCTCAAAATTTGCACACACATTTATAACTAATACACCAGTATATTACCCAAAATTCAATTGAGCATACACTATAAAATTTAAGAAACCTTCAAATTTGTGAACATATTTATATTTTTCAAAATCTAAACCAACTAAGAAAATTACTAATTTTAAAAATCCTTTAAAAACTCAATATTGATTCAATTGGCATAAAATCAATACTTAAAAATATTTCTTCAAGTTTGCTTCCAAATCTCACTCTATAATCTACAAAAGAACCTCAAAGTCACTATATATGCATAGTTTTATGCCTCAAAGTCTAATTTTGATCTAGGTTGACAATTGGTTCTTTCCAAGTATTAATTTTTGGTAATTTGAGGTAAGTTTTGCTTTATCCAACTGTTAATTCTTTTTTAAACATGCTTATATCAATTTCTTATCTCATTTACTTTTATTTGGCTCATTTATGCCTCTACAAAGTAAATAGAAGTTTCTTCTATAAAAAAAATTATTAAAACTAAATCTTTTATTACCTTTCTATCTTTATTCTTATTTTTCTACTACATCTTTTTATTAAGATCTTCTATAATAATATCTATATTTTTATTTTTTACTATATGGTTGTATTACTACATAATAACATATTAATAGCTTATAGTACCAGCTAATGATGTGATGTACTTATAAGAAACTTGACTTGTAAGTTAAGACATGTATCTTATAAATTAGATAAGTGTTGGAGGTCCTATAGAGCATTGCGACATAGTTCTTAGGTTGATAATATATATAAAGGCAAGAATAAAGCCTTCTTCGCTCTTAACGATTCCTTTCTTGCTTCTACTCTAATTTCAAGAGTCTCTAGTTTTTTTTAGTCTTTGGCAATAGCCATTCTAATTTCTTATTAAATATATTTACTTTCTTATTTTTAATTTTTCATCTCTCTTTGATTTATTTTTCCCTTGTTTATATATCTTCTTTAAGTTCTTGTTTTTGATACAAATCCAATATCACATACCATTATCAAATATGAAAACCACACCTCATAGAAATATACTACTAATATATATTAAAAGAAAAATAAAAACATCTATAAACAACATAATCAAGCTATCTCTCACTTCACAAAGAAAAAATCTAAAAGTGCAAGTATATAAAGAAATCAATGCATTATTAAATTATAAACCATTATATTTAAGCAAATGGCAGCTTAAAGCCTCTTTTCTTGAAATGCTTTCATAAGATTTAATATAATAATAATATTATTTTAAAAAAGCCATTAATTGTATAATTCCAAATCTTAAATTACCTTTAAGTTAAGGTTAATTTATCTAAGGTCCTTAATGAATGTAGATTTTTTAATACTAATAGAATTTAAATTAAATTCCATGGACTAACATCCATTTGATGTAGCATAGCATCCAATGCCACATTGTGTGACAAAAATTATGTCTTCAAACCTACCAATGGAGTTTGGTAGTATTTTCATCTATGTCAAGTGTAACTTGTGAGGTTACACAATAAAGACATTTAATGAAAAAATTGTGACAATAATATGAAATCACTTGATAAACTCTCACATGTGTTTTTAGCTTCTCACACCAAAATATCAAAATACTAAGACCTTCTTTGTAAGAGCAATGAAAGGAACCATTCACTATAATAGATAATCACACCTTCAAATAGCCATTCAAATACCACAACAAAATAATAAACTAACATAATTTTTTTCTAAAGCTCTACTACACTAAGTCTTGCACATTAAATGTCTTTGTTGGATGTAATTTATTCTTTTTAAGTACAAGAAAGTATTTAATTATATCATAATTTTTTTAATGAAAATCTAAGGTTAGAAATACTTGTAATAATTATACTTAATTATAAAAGGTTTTAAAGCACAAGAAAGTATCTTAAATATTTACTATAATAAAGATGTGTAAAAATATTATTTAAAAGAAATAAAATTGTAAGATTTTATTAAAATTTAAAATATATTTTAAATTTTAATATAATTATAATAAAATAATAAAATAATAAATATAGGTATGTATATTTAAAAATTAAATTATGATTTTATAAAATAATAAAATAAAATAAAATAAATAATTATTTAAAAATAAGAAAATACATATTTGAAATTATATGGTAGTAATATTAAAAAACTAAAAATATACTAGAATGGTATTATATTAATTAATATATATTTAATTATCCTAATTTATGATCCATCTATTCTAAAAAGTTATAATAGCTATTATCTATTAGAAAAATATTATTTTATAAAATAAAAAAAATCTTAAAATTTGAATGAAAAGAAGAAAAAAGGCATTTTTATTTGATACCATGTAAGATAAATGCTTTGAAGCACATTGTTTCCACAATTGCTGCAAAGTTTTTAAACTTTAGAATATATTTAGTATTAATGCATCATAATATTTTTGTATTCAGAAGCTATTATAAAAATATTTATATTACTTCATATCCTTCCTATATATCTCTTTTGCATGCATGTACATTTTATTATTCTACAAAGAAGACTTCTCTAAGATACACAATTAATGTTTTAAAATATAATTAAATAAACGACTTATAACCTATGATATTAGAATTTAAAACATATTTATTAAATTTTATCTTAAATATTAGGATGTATAGTTATTAGATGAATATCACAATAACATTTGTTAAATAGATTCTATAGATTTAGTTGATGGTTGAAAGTTAATGATAAACTCATTTATTTAGAAGGTAATATTTTACATACTAGAGTCTAATAACCTTAAAAAAAAAACATTTTTCATATACACACATAAATAGACACCTTTTTAAATCCTATAATAATACAAATTTTGACAAAGTAGTATGGCCAATTTTTTATTACAGTGAGGGGGGCACAATTCTTCCATACGCACATTTTGCATGCCACCGTCAACTGGCAAGGCATGCAACAAACGGAGAATTACTTTTTCGCTGCCCTAAACTTAACTCCCATTACAGAACCCTCAAACTTTAGGCAAGCGGACGAAACGTTTAAAAAAGTTGGCTGGAAAAAATCTTCGCTGGAGACCAAAGTATCCTCGTCTGCCCCTTTCGTTCCTGGGGAGTTCCCTAAGAGATCCAAGCTGTGTGAACCCGACGTTCCCTGCCTTGTTTCCCTTCCCTCACCTTCATGCACTCAGTGCCATCGAGAATCAGCGATCCAGACACAGAGCAATAGAAGAGTGAGCTTGCGGTTTGGTTCGATTGCGTTGAAGCTCTCTCCCCTCGAGCCCCGGCGTCCATGGCCTGTACTATTACCCCCTCTTTTTACCTTTTTCTTGTTTTCCGGCAGTATAGTTTGTTCATGATCTGTTAATTCCACTCGTCGTTTCCGTTTTTCTCACTAAATTGGTGTATAGGAATGTGCAATCAGTTGAGATTCGAGGACGTTGTACGAGGATTTGAGCAGTTTTGTGGTGTGGTATCGTGTGTTTTGGTGTGCTTGACTCAGCGTGGTAGATTTTCAGAGGACATTTATGCTAGTGTATTGTTTTGTTGTGGTATTTGAATGGCCATTTGAAGGTGTGGTTAGCTATTGTAGTGAATGGCTCCTTTCATTGCCTTTCGAAGAAGATTTTAGCATTTCGGTATCTTGGTGTCGGAGGCTAAAAACACGCGTGAGAGTTTATCAAGTGACTTCATATTGCTGTCTCAGTTTTTTCAATGGTCTGTATGGGTTTATTTGGATGAGTTGACCAGCGGTCTTGGTGAATCAACAGTAGTAAGTGTTTGTCGGTGGTATTCAAGGAAGAAAAGCAGGAACTATTTGTTCGAAGTTATGCGGCAGGGTTTTCGTTTTATTTTGTTTTAAACTCTTGTGTAGGGTTTGAGATTTTAGAATTAAATTCAACAGTTGATTTTTGGATTTCGGCCTGTTTTTTTATCACCATGTTTGAATTGACGTGGAATGGATTTCATCATTTCTTCAGTTAGTCTGGAACTGGCTCTGGAACCGAGGTTTTTGTTTGCAGGAGGTTTTCATCAGCTTCAGTATTTGAGTCCCAGCCTCATGTTATGTGCAGCTTCTGTGTGGCAGTTGTGTAAGCCGCCTTCACACGTTTTTCTCTGTCAGAGTGACGCATGTATTAAAAACAGTAGTGATAAATATCATCCCCAAGGTTCATATTTCTTGCGGTCGAATATACTATCAACGAAGCTTGTTGGGAAGAAGGTCAATACCAATATAGATTCGACTTACTTACTATCTCGTCGACCAGGAACGGCAATGGAGACTCGAGGTACGTTCTTTTAAGTCTTAAATACGTTTTATAATTGAATTTAATTTTGGAGCACACAAAGGAACTACAGCCATCGCATTCAGTTACTTGCCTCACCTATTTTTGTGATCTGCATTATGCACCCAATGTGTCAGTTCTAGCTATTAAAGCTGGCTAAGATAGAACTAGCGTCCAATCACTTGAATGTACAAAATTCATTGACGGGCAAATTCGTAGAGTAACTTGAAACTGGAGATGATTCATCAATCCCATTTGTGCAACTTCTCTTTGAGGTTTGAAAACTAAATGTTTCATATTCTTCCTCTACTGCGTCTGAACAGCCGCTGTTTCTGTCGGAAGTGAATCAACATTGTCTCAGGTCGTGGACTTTAAGAAACTGCAGAATGGCAGGTGAATGATGTTTTCTCCCTGTTACAGTGTATGGAAAGCATACAGTGTGTCAAATAATTGTTTTCACAAGCCTCTCCAGTGATTCACTGACCTGGTGTAGTACGGGAAATGCTTTATTTTATTTTATTTTATTTATTTATGTGTATGCTTTTCTTTCTTTCTTCTTTCCTTTTTATTTATATTTTTAATCTGGATTCTTACATTGTTGAATCACCTTAAAGTTTTGGATTTTGATCATGTGGACACAAAGTTATGACTTGTGGTAATCGCATAGCAATGCGTACATACGAGAGCATACCATCGGAAAATTTTTACAGTCTTTGAATTCTGGAACTACAGTGATATTCGTGGAGTAGCAGTGGATGGTGTGGAAGGTGAACCTGTAAATCTTACGGAAGCTGTTGCTGAGGCTATAGGTGCTGCATTTGCAGCGTGGCTTCTTGATAAGAAGAACGCTGACTTCTCTACGAAACTTAGAGTGTCACTTGGAACCGACTCAAGAGTATCTGCTAAATCAATTCAGGTATAAACAAAATGGGGTTATCTCAGATCTTCTCTCGATGTTTTCCGAGACTGGTATAGATTCCCTTTGCTGCGCTTCGAGCTTTGCGGTTCATTTTTGTGCTACTGGCTGGTACGATTTGTAGGAATGAAGATAATTGTGGGATCTATCGATTTATAGACTCTGGAAGATGTGAACAGTCGATTGAAAAGTCATAATGTCTAGTGCTAATCTTGCCTTTTACCTTAAAGGTTGCTACTTGTTTAGACTGAAAGTGGACTCCGTTATTATCTGCTGTTCAAATTAAGATGCCTTCTCAAGTTTTATGGTATGGAGAACAGCTTCTCGTAATATTCTCAGCAGCTCAATGCCAAGTTGAAAGTTCTTTAACAGTTGTGGTTTGCTTTGTATAGAGTGCCGTAGCTCGAGGAATATCTGGAGCTGGATTGGATGTCATTGAATATGGGTATGTTTATCTCTACAAAATATAACAACATGAACTTTGTTTTTATATGTAGTTGGGATGCTGCTCGAATCTAGCTCGCTAGGTTTGTGGTCTACTCAATACGCTCAGAGCAGGTCAAATTTGCATTTAACCAGTACTTTAGACATGTCAAATTCTGTATAAAGTTCAAATTGGATCAATTTCTTAGGTTGTGGTGTTTCCAACAGTATGGCATCAACACCAGCGATGTTCAATAGCACCTTAACAGTTCGAGACGACCTTTTTTGTCCTGTTCAAGGGGCGATAATGATTACAGGTACAAACGCCACTTGAGGACTTCTCTTCTTGAAAATTTTGACGCTGGTTGTCGATAGCCTACACTAGTGTATGCCTAGTCCAGTTGTGTAAACCTTTTTCATGAAGTTTTAGTGAAGATTTTCAGTTGGCTGAATTTTATTATTGCATTTACCTCTGTACAGCAAGTCACCTTCCTTACAACAGAAATGGGCTGAAGTTCTTCACTAGTGACGGAGGCCTTGGCAAGAAGGATATTACTGATATTTTATCAAGAGCAGAGAAGATTTACCATGTGATGTCTAATGAAAGTACAGAGGCGGCAGCAGCTGTAGCAGACAAAATTGTGCATTCTGTTGATTACATGGAGCAGTATACTGCTGATCTTGTAGATGCCGTTCGCAAAGGAGCTGGAGGAGTTGGTGAGACTTAATTTCTCTCCAGTTGTTTTTGAAGGGAATATTTAATGAAGGTTCAAGCTAAGTTGTTCATTTATAAAACCGTCATGATCTCTGAATCGAAGAAACTAAGTTTTTCCAGCAGTGCTCTATTCTTGGAGCTTCTCTAACAAATTTTGCTTTGATTACTGGTAAACAGAGCGACCATTGGAGGGATTTCACATAGTTGTGGACGCAGGGAATGGGGCAGGCGGCTTCTTCGCAGTAAGCGAGCTATTCTATTATTTAGGATCTGCTTAGCACAAGCACGATGTTTATCGCTCTTACTCTCTGATGAATCTCTTTACACACCTATTTGGTAGTATTCTCTGACACTTTGTGTTGATGCCATTACTTTGCTTCTACCTGCTGTGTGCATTGATTGGATTTTGATTGAATGTATGCATAGGGGCGTGTCCTGGAGCCTTTGGGGGCAGTTACCACTGGAAGTCAATTCCTGGATCCTGATGGTAGGTTTCTGTTACAAGAACTTGCGTAAAACTGTGCAAAAGGGACAGTAGTTAAGTTCTTTAGAATCTTGCATATTTGTGTCACAATATTGATGTATTCATGCAGTAGCTATCACTGAAAGTCTTAATGTCCGTCAGTGGTATTTTGCGTCCTCCGATGTAGCTTGAGCTCACTAATTTTACCTTAAAAATATTGATGTGAACCAGGTATGTTCCCAAATCACATCCCAAATCCTGAAGATAAGAAGGCAATGGAGTCTATTACCAAAGCCGTCCTAGACCAAAAAGCAGATTTGGGCATCATATTTGACACTGACGTTGATAGGTAAAGTTGGAACCTTTCTGCTGGATCTTCTTGTCTCCTTCACGCATTCATGTGGTCTACTCTCATTGATGACGTGGTGGATCCTCTTTCATTGCTCACTGAATTGACATACTGGCTTTATTTTTTTAATAATCACATATTTCTTTGTATTATATTGCAGGGCTGCTGCTGTAGATTCCAGTGGGAAAGAGTTGAATCGCAACCGCCTTATTGCTCTTCTGGCTGCAATTGTGTTGGAGCAGGTAAAACTAGCATGAGATATCTGATATGTTAAAGCATTTTACAGCGGTGAAGAAATTAACGACTTTGTCTATCACATCAAAAGTTAACATGGCTTTCGTAGAACGTATACATGCTCAGAGTGGTTAAACTTAATTTGTGGTGTTTTATAATCAGCATCCTGGAACCACTATTGTCACAGACAGTGTGACCTCGGATGGCCTTACGACTTTCATTGAACAGAAACTGGGTAAGTTCGATGACGAGGTTTGTTGCACTTATGTTCATTGATGTGTTATGAGATCGTTGGTAATTTGCAAAACGAAAGAAATGGACTTCACAAGAATATTTTGTCGATAAATTACTTTGAATTTGAAGCTTTGGGATTGGTGTTCACCATTAGCAATTATCGGTATGATAGGTGGGGTTCTTTATTTACGTTATAAAGTATTGCTTGCATTTCAAATCAACTACTTGGTTTAAATGTTGCTGTTGCTTGGCACCATCGAAATATCTCTCATTTCCTTACAGATTTGTTTGTTCTGATGTTTCGTTTTGAACTGGAATAGGTGGCAAACATCATCGCTTCAAGAGGGGTTATAAGAATGTCATTGATGAAGGCATTCGGCTGGTTAGTTTACATCACCAGATTTACAAAGTACTTTAATGCTGTTATTCCACATTAAGTATTTTAGTTTTTTCTAACCGAAGTAGAGATCTGGCTATCAAATTTCATGACATCCTCTACTCCCTTTCTCCTCGTGCTAGCATACGCTACTCAACAAAACAATACATTTATGCGGATAGTCGTTTATAAATTGAGACTTCTATTTCGCTTGTCATGAATAGGTCGGGTCTAATGTAGCTAAAGACCTGAATTGTGTTAGACTTTCCTTTTATGCTTTTTATCACCGGGACTCTCTGCTGATTGTCATTCGTGGAACAGAACACGGTTGGAGAAGAGACTCATTTGGCTATCGAAACCAGTGGACATGGTGCCCTGAAGGAGAATCACTGGTTGGACGATGGTGCATATTTGATGGTGAATATGTTAGCTTTCTTTTACTGTTTTAAATTTTCCATAGACTTAAGTCCAGTGGATTCGTGTTGTCAGTGGTACATTACTGTCAAGTGTTATCCGTGTTCCGCAATGCGAATGATATAATTTGTGTCTGTGCGTCGATTCCCTTTCTCAAGGACTTAAGACGCACCACCAGCCTTTGGCTTCAAAAATAAGATTTTCATCCAAGATTTTTGATCCGAGTTGGATAAGTAATGTACAGATACATGGATTCACTGACCCAAATTATTATTTGCAGGTGAAATTATTGATTAAACTGGCTGCCGCAAAGGTGTCGGGAGAGGCATCTGGAAGTAAAGTGCTCTCCGATCTTATTGCGGATTTGGAAGATCCAGCCATTTCTTCTGAGTTGAGGTTCAAGATTGATCAATCTCATCCTGATATTGGGTCAGGGTAAGTTGATTTTTGAACTCCAATCTTTTATAGAGACCCTTGTTTATATTTAAACCTCGAATGATTTTATCCAAGATTATAGGTACATAAATCACTGAATTGAGTTACTTTATGCAACTGATATAATCAGCGTAAGTTTAAATGCGATTGGAATGTGATGATATCGTAATATACAATATTAATAATCACTTTGACATGGCCAGAGGTTTCAAAGCATATGGAGAGCAAGTCCTGGATAAATTGGATCAATTGGTTGCCTCAGATGCAAATTTGAAGAAAGCACCTGTTAACCATGAAGGGGTAGGTGCCTACTACTGCATCTAATTGATGGCAGCATGTCAATTGTGTGCTTGTTGGCCTGACTTGTTTAGATAGGCAGACCATTTGATATCAGATACTGACACTAGTGGCCTGACTTTTTGTGTGCCTGGATTCCTAAAGATTCGTGTCTCTGGGTATGGAGGATGGTTTCTGCTTCGATTATCCCTACATGATCCTGTTCTGCCGTTGAACATCGAGGTGAAATTTGTTATGCTACTACCAAGTACCTGCTGTGATTCTGTTCTGTGCAAATACATTCCTGTTACCTTTCATCACTAAATTGTGTAAACTTGACCCTACATTCCATTTTCTTCTCTTACAGGGCCCGTCTATGGAAGCTACAAAGAAGCTGGGAGAGTTTGTCCTTTCAGCCGTTAAGGAGTTCGGGGCTTTAGATACTTCCGCCCTGCAGAAGTATGTTGCGTAGGTCACACCTACTATTCTCAGATTACTGAAGGTCAAATTATTGACTGGATCTAGAAATTATCTTGCTCAATTTGAGTCAATAAATTTCTTGCGAGCTGAATATTCTCACAATGTATTTAGAAACAATCTAAGGCTGCAAAATGTGATTTCTTCTATTTTGACTTGTAGAGACGATGTAGAATAGTAAACTTGTATATTTCATGGTTAGAGTCTACAAGTCGTAAGGAGGAAATGTGGGACACTGCATGGTATGGATGTGGTATGGATGTAGGGGCCATGTAACTAGTTGTAATCCCAATACCCACACAACATCATTATTCTTCATACGGAATTTCCCCAACATTGTTGTGTGCATAAAGAACTAAAATAGCCGATATAAAAACTGATTCTTGTCTTATATTGTTAGATTCCAACAAGTTCTAAGTTGGTACTTGACTATAAATTTATTTTAGTCAATTGTATAATTAATTCACATATGTTGAGTGCATTGAAATTAGTAGTGATTGCCATACAACTTTTTGTAATATTTTAGATCAATTTAAAGTCTACCCAGAATCCAAAGATGTAAAAGAAGCTCAAGAAATATTGAAATCATTTTTGATGGAGAACAAAACCTTCTTGGTCTTTGACAATATGAAGTATCAAAGTCAAATTGAAGATATTATGCCTATAGATGATATGTTTGCTACCCATGGTAGCATACTAACTGCAACAACTCAAAATTCAAAAGCAATGTAGCATTGTAATGAAGAACTTTGTAAGATAAATGTTGAAGGACTTGGCAAAGAAACAAGAATAATTTTTTTTGTCATTCATTCTTGTTGCCAAAAAATCTGTCTAACAAACTTATTGAGGTTGATAAAAACACTTTAAGAGCTTGCAATGGTCTAACATTGAGTCTAAAAGTTATGGGAGCATTTTTAAGAAAAAAAAAGAGATTGAGATATTGGGAGTGAGCTCTATAAAAGTTGAAAAGGAGAAGAGAGTTGGATGAATATGAAAACAATAGTAACTACAAGATTTAGAAGACATTAAGAGTAAGCTTAGGCAATTTGAAAGTTGAAGAGAAGAATATGTTTTTGGACATATGTTGTTTCTTTTTTAATAATGTGTGTCCATAAAGCATGTCAAAAGAAAGAACATTGCAAATGTGGGCCAATAGTCAAAACAACATATATAAACAAGATATAGAATTAATGCTAGATACATTGATTTACCAATTATTGATAAAAGTACACAAAAATGGCATTATAAGAGTACATAATTAACTACAACACATGATAGAAACATTGTTGAAAAGAAAATAGAATATAAGTACACACAAATGTGGCACTTGAATGAAGATTTATTTCATAGATTATCAAACAAGATAATTTTACTTATTATCTAAATGGCATAATAAAAATAAAATAAAATATAATTTAATTTAAAGGTTGAATTTTTTATTTCTATATTATGTAATTTTTATTATATTTTTTAGATATATGTTGATGTGAAATTATAATATAAATAAATTAATCTTTTATTATAATTAGATTTGTGTATATATTAAGTATATTACTAATATAGAAATTCTAAACTTTTTTGTGTATTTAATTGTATTGATTGATAGTTAAAAGGATTTTTTTATAAGAACATACACATTAACAATATTAGTGAAATAAAAGGTGCTTCTTCTTTATCACTTCAATTTTTAAGTTGCAATGTTGGTGTTTTTGCACCCAATATTTTTATAAAAATATTGAGCATCTTTTATGTGTTGATAAAGCATTTTCGTAGTTTAAAATATTTTCTACTAGACATGCAAAGGGGATATAAATTAAAAAAAGAATTAGCAGACAAACCATTGCAATTGCCAAATGACAAAGATATTTGAAAAAGTTTGAGAATTTAAATGTCTAGTAATTAATTTTTTTTAAAAAAAAAAAAAAAAAAAATCCAAATTTAATCTTTAAAATTGCTACATTATTAGAACTTGACTTAGAGGGATGCTCAAAATTAACTATGCTACTAAATAAATTGGAGTTTATGACTTGTTTGAAGATACTTAAAAGATTTTATAAGATTAAGATCATTATCAACATCAATGGAAAGTCTTCTTGGTTTAAAAAATCTTAATATTAGTTTGTGTAAAAGCTTAATATTGTTACCAAATATATAGAACAACCTCACATTTTTTACTACATTTAATATTGGAGGATGCTCAAGCTTGACATCATTGCCAAATCAATTAGGAAACATCACATCTTTGACTACTTTTGATATGAAGAGATTTATAAGCTTGACATCATTGCTAAAAGAAATGGTCAATGCCTTTTTAAAAAGCATTTTCTTAAAATAAGTTAAAAATCAATAGATAATAGTCTTATAAGTTAGTGAAAACTGTAAAATCAAGACTTGATAAGAAATGTGTTAAATACAATTGTACAAGAATGATAGTAAATCAAAGAAGATTAGATTTAGATCATACCAAAGAAATTTAAACACAAAGATTATTATAAAAAGACACTCATATTATCTAACAAGTTTAGTTTCTAGAATCAATTAAAAGTTTAAAATTTAAAATTTAAAATGTATGAGTTGAAATTACATAGGTAATTTTTATTTTTATATATATTTATTTATTAATTTTGACTTAATCTACTTCTTTCTTTATAAGATTTGTAATTCTAAAAGAATAAATATTGTGCTCTATAAGATCTTTATTTGGATAACAATCTATATTGACTTTAAAGTTAGGATTTTCATTAATAGCATTAAAAATTTAGAAGTTGAGAGTTTAAGATTTTAAAATTTTGGATTTAGGAGTTTAGGATTTAAAATTGTAGGATTTATAATTTAGAAATTTAGAATTTAGGATTATATAGATATCCCTAATTTTTAAAGCCCCTTAATTTATAGCCAAGTTTAGAATTTAGAATTTAGAATTCAAATTTAGGATTTTATAGTTCATGGTTTGAGATTTAGGAATTTAGAAGTTTGGATTTTGGATTTTTTATTTTTTATTTTAGGGTTTAAGGTTTAGAATTCCATTAATGTCTTTGATTTTTGAACTCCTTATTTTTAGATTTTGACTAAACCTACTCCCTTATTTTTGTTGTCTCTAATTTCAAAATTATAAATAACTTGCTCTACAAGTTCTTAGTTTGTAAGATATATCAATTTTGATTTGGGCTTCAAAGTTTCGACTTAGATCATGTAGAAGAATCTTTATAGAGTTTTGACTGTAAAAGGATCTACCTAATCATGTAAAAGGGTCTTTATAGAGTTTAGAAAATAATAATAGGTCTATTTGTGGATTTTCCATTCAAAAGATATTGTTTAATTATTCTAAAAGTGTACATATTTGTAAATATTGAGGATTTGGTCATTTTGAATTTTGAATTAATTTTGCAAATGAATGGGATTTTGTAAGTTTTGATTTGACTTCATTTGCTATTTGGAAGATCTACAAATCCAATGATGGACTTAGAATGTTCTACAAGTTTTGTAATTTTTTGATAAAGGCCCTTTGACTAATACCTTTTTTTTTTTTTTTTTTTATTATTCTTTGTCTTTTTGAAATTTTGAATTTATTTTATTTTTTGTTGAGGTTTTATGTGCTACTTTTATAAATGATTGCAATTCTTTTTGAAGAAAACTCTTAGAAATATTCTTATTTTTTATTATTTTTTAATGTATAGGCCACAAAGAATGCATAGCTTACAACATGTTTCTTAAATTAATTGCATGAAAAATTAAAGAAAAGGTAAAAAATAAAAATACTAAATAAATTAAAATAAACACATTAAATGTATATTATTAAAATTTCAAGGTACATGCTTTGATACCATTTTTTTAAGAATGCATTTAAATTTGTAAATGTTGATTGTGTAATTTTAAATAAGTTAAAGGTAATTAAAAAAAAACATTTATATACATAAAAAAGAAATATGTTTAATATCACACCCTCTAATTTATGTTTTTTTTGAAATTGAGTATTTATTCAATTTTATATAAATACATCATACCATGTCTAAATTAGCCGAGAATATTATTTTTATACAAAATAAATACGATATTAATTTTTCGTCACTTTTAAGACTAAAGATTTTTTTTCAATATTTTTTAAATGGTTATAGCTTCAAAAGAAAACTTATATTCTGAATAAGTAAAAGTACAATGAATCTAAAATAGAGTTTATAATTATCTCAATTTTTATGGTTTAACTTCTGACCTGCAAAAATTCTTAAATTCTGTATAATCTCAAATAAGCAAATAAACAAATAAAACTTACTTTGGTGATATGCTGGAACATTAAATACCTATAAACAAATGCTTACGATGCAGAATGAACTATTTTCGAAGCATACACTTGAAGTGCCAACGCAACTATTTCACAGCAATCCCACTTCAATTCTGTGACACATCCACACCATGGTATTGAGTCTTTTGTGTTTCTTTACACAATCTTGGAAGACTTCTTTTCCTTGAATCTTAAGAAACATATGATAGTTAAATTTTACGGCTGAATAAGGTCATATTTCCTCCTATTGGTTGTGTTGGAGACGCAATAGAAACATTATTCGGATACTCTAATAACATCCGAAATATTTTCCTTGGGGGTCTCTAATATCCAAACCAGAATATTTTTTGTTCAGACCTTAAGGATCAAGTGAACAGTTGCGAAAGCTCGGGGTATGCCAGTCCGAATAGCTTCACAAATGCATGAAGATACCACTAAATGAGTGCTCTATATTCATCTCTTGAGACCCAACTTATTTGCAAGACGACTCCGCACAGTCGTAGAGTCAGCTTTTGGCTGCCTCTGTCGAGACTTACCCCTCCTACGACTCCGACCCCTGCCACGCTTGCTGAGACGCTGCCGCCGTATCTCCGGGTCAGCCCATCCTCTTCCCCATTCCCTCGATTCTTCTGACGTTCTATGGTTCCTTGGCATTTTCGAAGCTTGAATCATGTCACCTTCTAAGTAAACCAAAAGACGATGTACATGTTGTGAAGCTATTGTTATGTTGGGTGTTCGTAGGAGCTCAAGTCCCTTGGGAGTGAGGAGAGGGTATTTAATTGTGGGCACTACCAATTTATTTGTGGCTGTTGACGCCTGCAAAGATGTTGCAAGGGTATTAAAAAAGACTACTTCAATATCAAAGCATAGACAGTGTTCAGCAAAGGAACTCTATGATGGAACAGAGCTTAATGAAGGTGAAGTATACATCGTAGTTCCAAGTATCCTTCAGTTTGGAAACTATTAGCCAATGATTTGTATCAAAGTTTTGGTTATTATCAAGCCATGAAGGATCGTGCGAGCAAAGTGTGAGGTGTAAGGGCACTCACGGCATTCTGGATAAATCCACGGTCAGCCAGTATACGAACAAAGCCCCTCCACCATAATCTATCCTTCGATGGATCCTGCCCAACAAACACGTTCCCACGATGTTTCTGTTAGGAAACTGATACCGTGATAATTAGCAACCTAAAAGAGTACTGTCTCTCTGGCAATATGGCAAAATGATTGAACAACCCTCACCTGTTTTTCCAATTGTTCCACAATGTCTTTTATAGACAGTCCTTTAGGTGCTACTGATGAAGTACTACTTGTCCTTCCTGCTCGTCCTGCCCTGCCTGTCATCCCTTTTCCTCTTGGTGCTCTCTCTCTTGGTTGCACACTAGCTCCTAAGGCAGTACCTCCCGTCTGCGTTGTTGGCACAACCAACATTAGATCATTTTGAAAACAGTACAAATCCGTGGTTCAGCCTCTGACTTAGACTCAAGCTACGAATGCTACTAATGGTTCTGCGTAAGAGAAGCTTCGGATGAACGTTTCAAATAGCACCTGCTCGTCAAACGGAAGTAAATGTTCATTGCAGGGACTAAAGGACAACTTAGCAAATGCACCAGGGAGGGATTCACCTGAGAGGCAGCAATTGCTGTCAGTAGCAGCACGGCTTCTCTAGTCAGATTTTGAGCAGGTGGTGGACCCTTGAGGCATACATCACACCTGACATGAAACCGATACACCGCAATTTTTTCGATTACTCTTCAAGAAATCGGACTAAAAAGGTACGACACATTTTATTCAACAACTGACAACCATCACACCAGAAGAAGGCGGAATCGAAGGATTCATTTTAAATGCCTGAGGTGGAATCGAAGGAATCGATAAACGAGTGATCACTTCTAAAACAGAATTATCGAGAGCCAAGAGATACTTACATGTTGCATAGACCACCCTCAAGAACTTCACCGAAGTATTTAAGTATCGTATGCACTCTGCAGCAATCTTGTTGAATGGCATACCTGCTAGTCAAACCTGAGTCAGTAAAAATATATGAATGTTCCACAGAACTCATTACATGTCTGGCACCACATTGCTACAAAATAGTCATCACTATCATTGGGATATAATAGCCCTTATGCATACTTGACAAGACGTGTACCATAAATAAGAAAATGGTGGATTGGTGCCTGAAACATTGCGAGAGCATTTCAAGTGAATGCTTCGTTTGTGCAGGATCTCGGCGGCTGGGCAGCAATGAAGGCAGAACAGTCATGTCAACAAATAGTTCTGCAAATCGCAGAAAATGATCCCAATAAGAAAACAAGGATGCTGCGCAGGACGCCATTCAGAGGCTATTTGAGAACAACCAGCTTCAGATACTTTCAAAAGCATTGCAATAAATAATAAAAAAAATCATACAGGAGATCTAACTCACACGCAAAATGATCACAATACATGAGAGAGCGTTTCATTGTAACCGAATGAGCTCAGTATAATGCCTATTTTCTAGTTCTAAAGAATGTACCACAATCTGAACGAGCACCATCTCTACCAGCTCGACCTGCCTCTTGGTAGTATGCTTCCAAACTCTGCTCCAAATACATAAATTGAAGAACATGTCTTCCTGAGGTTAATCAAACAGCTGACACACTACTTCTGAATGTAGAGAGATAGTTCGTTGTTACGAAGGTAATAGAGCTGGAGGGAACAACACTCGGAAATAACATCTGACTGTAAGTCGTCCTAACAAGCTGGCGGAAAGAGAAATTTACCAACCTGAGGCCAGCCATAATGGATCACACGTCTCACATTTGGCTTGTCGATTCCCATTCCAAATGCAATAGTAGCAACAACAACCTGCCAGCATGAGATCATAATAAGAAAATCTAAACAAAAAAGGGATGTTAAAAGATAAATAGGGTGGTGTCTAACCCAGCTGACCAGTACCCAAATATGTGGCCGAGTACGGCCAGGCTTTCGGCTTATGAAGATTAAGTGAAATTAGTCTTAAATACTTGTCAAACTTGCCGACATTGGTGGCCAGTTCGGGAATTGAACAAGACTCCATCAATACAAATTAATGGAGAAGTCAAGGCTATCCAGACCTGCAAATTATCTCCATGAAATCCCTCGTGTACTTGTCTCAAATGGGTCCTAGGTAACTGGACAAGAAAAAACAGTAGCAGTCATTTGGTACTCCGAAGCTTTTGTTTTTAAGTAATAGCATGGATATTAATAGGAAACATTTGCGAACAGTGGTCCTTGTCCTCGTAACATTACCTTAGCATGATAAGCAGCAGCTTTGACACCATGTCTGCAAAGAAACTTTGCAAGAGTCTCAGTTTCCTTTCTTGTAGGCATGTAAACAATGGTGGGGCCTTCCCCCAGTTCTGTTGCCTTTCCATTGTCTTGACCAGCAGAATCCCTAAGTGCAGCAGCACGACCTCTAAATTCTCCACACTCAACTGCAAGAAAAGGTTGACGGTCCAAAATTTCAACAATGATTCATTCAGGTATCTACGCACTTCAGTGCAGTTATGTGCCATTAATGTTTAAGTGCACACTTCTCGTTCTAGAAAGGAAGGTATGAAGCATCTACGAGCATTAAAATGTCTTTAAACTAAAATCACAGCTGCAGCAACACCGTTACAGTATGTACTTATTTAACGTATCAAAGGGATGTTTTAATCAATGATGAGGAAAGTTCAATCAAGGAAAAGACTACAACTTACCAAAACAATCACCGCCAAGTCTCTCGTCTTCGTCCTCCAAGAACTGAGTTGTTAGACGAGAACCATCACAGTCATTGTCCTTAATTGCATCACCCTCCGCACTTGAATAATCATCATCGTCGTCGTCGTCGTCATCGTCGTCGTCTTCGTCGTCTTCGTCGTCGTCTTCGTAGTCGTCAGACAAGATAACTAAATCCTCTATGCCATCGTTATGAGTCAAATTTCTTCCAAGGACCTTGTTTTTATTAGCATTAAGCCATTCATTACTTTGTGTACTGTCCATTAGATCAGTAAGACCCATTCTCAGATTGTAGTTATCATCCTTTGAGCTTACTCTGTTACTCTCTTTGCGCAAACTTGTTTTTGATGTCGAAGCTACTCGCTGACATCTATCGCCGTTCCTGGTGTAGAGATTGATAAGAGATGCAAAATCATTTTCATATGATGTTACCTTTGTTGTTTTACTGTGGTTTACAGAAAAGTAAAGATTAGGTCTGAAAAAGGTAGTGAGCACAATTCTTGGATTTCCAGCAGCTATTCCTAAGGAGTTTAGGATATCCTCCCGCACAAAAGGAGTTGCGGTGGCAGTCAGAGCCATTATGGGTATCTGTTGATTCAGTCCCGGAATGACGCCGACCTTAAATTTATCCCTCAGCATAGATAACTGCCTACGATCAACACAACGCTATGATTAGAATAATGTAGCCTTTCAGAGCTGATCTGTGTTTGACGTCAGAGAACAACCTCTTAGCAAGACTGAAAAGTTCTAAACAGCTAGCACAAGTTGCATGGACTGCTCAACAAAGTGTTGCATTTGCAGAAATTTCTTCAAAGAATTTTCTACAACATTTTATTATTGTTTGGACATTATTCAAAGACTCAAAACATATTTTACCTGTAGGTTGGACGAAAGTCGTGACCCCATTTGGAAATGCAGTGTGCCTCGTCCACTGCAAAGAGAGCAATGCCTTTACCCCGAGCAAGGCTCTGCAAACAACTTTCCAGCCTGCCCACACACCTTCTCAGGGTTTACATGTATCTCTAACAGTTGAAATTCGATCTATGAAGCACAGAAACAAAGTGATGGACCTGATGGTACTCTTACCTTGGAAGAGTTTCCGGGCAGACGTAGACAATGTTATAAATTCCAGCCATGGCTTTAAGCTCAATTGTCTTGTCAACTTGGCCAGATCCAAGAAAGCAAGCAGACACACCTTGCCGCGCTAGCTGTAAGCACTGGTCGTGCATAAGGCTGATAAGTGGGGAAACCACTACAACTACCTTCCCGGTCATCAACGCTGGGAGCTGAAAGCATAATGACTTCCCTACAATATATAACGGGTAGAATATCAAGTGAAAGCAACCATTAGATAAAAATGACATGCTGATTGAACATAGAGGTACTAAATCATTGGAAACTAAACACCTTGTAATGTTAACGGATATCCATATAACATAGGAGTAAACCAGACTAGTTGTGAAAACGAGTGATATCTCAAAGCAGCTTGTTCAAAATAGTAGCGACTCGCTAGGCACAGCTAAAACCGCCCAATAGATCACAGACAGGGAAGGCTGTGCTTTTGGGTCTTATCTAGCAAAGGTACATATAAAGAGTGTAGTTCTGAAAAACTAATGTTTGTACTGAACATAAGAATCAATTCAACAAAACTGATCAATAAAGATACCAATGCCTTACCAGAGCCGGTAGCAGCAAGAACGAAGCAGTCACGATTATCGGCCCATGCTTCAATTGCAATTCGTTGGAAACTTTTTAGCTCCTGATAGCCAAAATACCTCCGTAAAGCTGTAACAGCTGCTTTCTCCCAATCCTCGACCTTAGGGATGGTAACACCTTTCAACTTGCTAGGTATGTAGGTTTTGGAAGGACCACCCTCTCTTAGACCATCTGGATCAAGTATAGATCCTCGCTTTCTCTTCACCTGAGTACAGTTTTCCTGTGCACAATTGCAAGTTTCAATTGTAGAGTAACCAATATTATGAAACATATGGCTTGGAATGCACGTTCAGCGGTTACTGGTCCAAGACCTAAACGTCATTAACATTGCAACAATAAGCTTAGTATAACCATAATGACCATATAAGTATAGAGGTTGAGGATTCTCAGTAATCTAGGGATGATCATAGAGTAAAAGAGTACCTGTTCTTCTCTGCAACGGTTTCTGGGTAATTCCGAACCTCGTGGCTTCACATCTTCGGTCTCCAAAGGTTCAGCTTTAGCCCCCGTAGATCCTGTGTCAACGGCTGGATTCAGTTTACCTCCAAAATTCAAAACATGCTTGTTCTCTATGACGGGTTTCACGTCCACTGCTGATTCAGCATCCACAAGTTCTCCTTTGACACGCATAGCTTTCTGACACCTGCAATATAATTCACAAATTCCTCATTTATAAAAATCGTAACATAGACCCAGAGGAGGATATGCGGTGAATGTAACTCTCTACTTGCTTATGAGAAACGGGATCTAAGATATTCATTACAAGTTTGACAGAATATTTCAAAGTAAATAATTAACATAGGTTCTGACTCCCGTTTGAAACTCAAAGTACTTTCAGCAAAAAGATACTAGACATCACTCTATACAGTCCATGGATTACCAGGAAGTCCAATCAGACTATCTGTCAATTACGAGTGCAAACGACGGAAATAGAGACAATGAAACCCCACAACTTTCATCAGAATCCTTCTTTACACCCTTATTTCACGAAGTTTTACATCCTTGGAAATACCAACACATCATAGAGATGGGAAACAGAGACAGGAATCATTGCTGAATAAAGCTTTACTACGTCTACCACTTTGAAGGCTCACAATCTGAATTGGTTTCATGCACATCGGATCGGCGGTGGAATACACAGATGATTCTTCGCCGCCAGTTGAGGAATACTCAGGTCTGATGACCTCAGAATCAGGAGACATGCCCACCGCAATCCGCTTCCTAGCATCTTTCGATGAAAGCAATATTGGAGGATGACCTTCCATGACTCTTTTTGTTCTATGCACAATTCTAAGCTCATCAATAATGATAGATTGCGCTCGTTATTTCATCACCACCCAAAGTTCCTGGTAACATCTGAAAGCATCAAGACTTTTAAGTAGGACACCAGCACAAGTCCATTACAAGGGCTTGCCTGCGCGCTCGAACTGCGTCTTGTTAATCTGAACGCGAGCTTCTACATCCCATACGTAAATTTATCAAAGTGAATTGAAAGTTCTCCTTGCCTGATCAACATCTCTTCTCGTTGCATGTCAGCTTCTTTTGATGCAATATCTGTGCTGTACTTCTCTAAAACACTTGTTCGACTTCTTGCAGTCGTTGTCCCCTTACACACTACTTCAGAGGAATGCCCGATGACCAACTTCTTTCTCGGTACGCTTGGAACAACAACATGAGTGATGATGTTTTCCTCAGCTGCATCACTTTGATGAAGAGGAGGTTCTTCTTCATCAAAAACCTCGTCACTGAACCCTCCCCATGCACCTTCTTGCACCCAGAACCCCTGATTGTTAGTACCACCATTTTCTCTCATCTGTTCCGTTGCATCACCGCAAAATTCTGTTGATGTTTTCATGGCGTCTGTCCTACACAGGATCGAAGAAGTTTCCATAGGCTCCACTTTTACGTTCGAACATACAAAACGTGCTGCCCTGATGTTTTCTTTCACCTCCTCTTTGAAATGCCATAGATTGCAGGACCCATCATTGGGGTTGACTATATTCTTTCTGTCGATCTCTTCCAAATCGTTGGAGACATTCTTACGTTTCCCTAGGCAACACTCCACATAGCGGCTCGAACCTTCAGTTAATAAAAAATCCACCATGTCATTAAGAGAGCCCAGATTTGGGTTGCTTATTACCTCCAGCGCCAAATAATAATCAAATCCCATTGACAATAGCTGAGCAACCATTTCGTCCTGTGTAAGGCGTGCGGCCTCCATTTCGATCGAGGCTTCACAATGTTCATCTACCACTACGGCATTTTAGGAGAATATTCTGGACTCCATGCCAGTGAGAGTGATAAGTCGCCGCCTTGTTGGTAAATTGGAAAATGATACAGAAATCTTTGAGCAACTTATAATACTATCCATCTCGGGATACAGGGACGCACGAGGTACTCTTTTCCACGTCTATAATTTCCTGCGAACACAATTGTCTGTTAACACGTTGAACTTACGATTGCAGAGGCACAAAGCCTGATCCAAACCGACTACATGTAAAGGTCATTAGGGCCTGCTAACTTGCATCAGATGTTGTTCAACAAGCAGCACATTACTAGTCTGGGACCCGGGGATGGTTTCTGAACCTTCAAACTCATCAACACGATAACCAGCTGTACCATAACATGACCTAAACTTCCAACATGATGAAACCTTCAAAACATAGAAAGACTCTATCAATTTGCTTTCGAGTCATCTACTAAGCGCACTGCCTACGAAGAAATTCAGAACACCTGCATCTCCCGGAAGGATTTTAAAAGGTTGAAGTTGCCAGCAACGGGTTTTACCAACTCCAAGACAATTGCGAATCCCAAAGATAAAAGGTGATGACATTGTATCAACGGACAGCAAGGTCAAGACCAGAGGCTGTGCGATTCAGGAGAAGCTCAAACACCAGACTCGTGATTCTGGAAAATTTTCCCCCAACCAACTCCCAGTTCAAAAGAAGGCCCACTTCCCTCATCCAGTTTCAAACGCTACGATCGCATACAAATGATCCAACCCAGCACGAAATTAATGCTCTGAAAGACTCATCAACCACTTCACGCTCTCGCTTCCGCTTGGACACACACAATGCGAACAGCATCGAAACCAACCTATGCTTCACTGAGAGCCACCGCATGGATTTTAAGGAAACAGCAAGCTCATCGGGTCGAAAACTTCGTAAAAATTTCACAGGATCCGGTGAAAGAAGCGCTAGTTCTGAAATAATTAGGTATCGAGAGGATGAGTAGACCTATGCAATTAATACAATTTAAAAACTTCCAGAGGAAAAGTAGCTGCGAAGAGAAAAACAATTAAAAAAAAAAACAGTGCACTGAGGTGCAACCCTGCTTCTCGTTCCTTCTTGTATTAGATCACCACAAGAAGAACGAACGTCGTTAATTATATTCATCCTTTAGTCAATTCGAAATTGAGCGTTTATCCGTCCATAAAGCCTCTGAAGTCATTAACCAGTAAAAACAATCGCCTTTATTCGAATTAACTCATCCAATTCAATTATTGTCTTCATATTATGGGAAAAAGCCTCTGAAAAACGCACATCTTCAGTAAGATATTTTATTTAGGGACAAGAGGTATTTGTAATAGTTGTGTCTGGGACTGTTGAACTCAATACAAATCGAGTTTGTTTATATCCGCATGCGGAATTTTGTAAATTGTGTTTGTTTATGAATTCTAATATAAAAAGAAAAAGAGAATGAATGAAGGAAATAGAAGAGACACCTTGTCCTTGCATTGAATTTATTGGAAATTATTTAGCATTTTGTAGGTTAATACAGTTGGGTGCTGAATGGTTTTACATTGTATTCACCTTGGATACTCGCAACTCCTAAATGGTGAGCAGTTGTAGGGTCAGTTTCAAGCAGTTAAGTCATCATGTTATGAACATTATTTAGACAAGACAACAACGAACCATTTTTAAGGTCTTCGTATTGGCCAATCCCGGCTCGTGTTATCAACAGCATCCAGACTAGTTATCAATCCTGATTTGCCAGAACATTACATTCTCGGAGGCAAAGATTGGACACATATAGTCGATGCACAAGGCAAGTATTTCACAAGGTGAACCAGCTTACATTAGAGCTTCTAATTACCCACACACCAGTCGGATACAGAAGCTTCACATAATAAGAGATAAACGGGATGGCGTGCCACAGATTCTAGGTCAGCACTACCCGTAACAAACTCATTGAGGCACGAAAGTCTCAAAAGAAAGGCAATAAAGCTAAGAGTATTAATTGAGCCCTTCTCAGCAATGTACGGAAGAGCTCATTAGCTGACTACTACAGCAAGGGAAGAAGCTAGAGCACTGTGTTCAAACAACACCCACAACTTGCGTCAGGTGCTAATGTCCCTGTAAAAACAAAGGTGCTGTCCAGGTAGTGCCTGTTGAGGTTTCACTAAGATAATGAAGTGAATGACTCAATACAGTTCACTATTGAACTTTGCGTACGCATCCTTGAGGAGATCGAAAACCTTTTCAGCAGTGTACTTTTGTTTCACATTCGCTCCTTTCTGCTGGACTTTGTCAGGATGCACACACAGTATGGCTCGTTGATAGGCTTTTTTCACAGCAGGTCCAGATACGAGATCTGACATAGATACAACCTTCCAATTGCATTCTGGCCACAACATAAGGTGCAAGGTGGAAAGCAAAGCCCTTAGATTGCCTTCCTTGCCAACAGACCAGCGCCGCACATCTGCATCCAATGTGCTTGCATATCTCTGTCTTTCCTCCTGCTCGCGCTGCAACGCTTGATCTCGCATGTTCTTTTCTTGTAAGGCTTTGGCAGCCCGCTCTTCTATGAGCATTTGCTTTTCTAGACGCAGCTTCCTCCTATCTGCTGGCTCTCCTGGAATCTCCTGAAACTTTTCTGAACCAGAGGAAGGCTGGGTGAAGAGATTTGTCCAATCGTCAACCCCCCTCTTCGTAGAAGGCGACTTCCGTGTCTCTGGTGTTCCTGACAAGTTGTTAAGATTTCCACCAGAGGAAAATCTGGAAAGTCCTCCCGGAGGTGGATTGACAGAGACAGAGAGTCTTTGACGCGGCTCACTGGTGGCACGGAAATTGTCTCTGGTGCGTAATTGTTCAGCAAGTCCTCTTTCCTTCTCCCTCAACCTATCCCGCAACTTCTCTTCCTCTCTATCCCTCTCTCTTTCTCTCTCTCTCTCCTCCTCTTTCAAGCGTTCTTTCTCTCTCGCAGCTGCTGCCCTTTGACGAGCAGCTCTTTCTGCCCGCTCATGAGCTTCTTGCACAGCTCTCTCCACCGCTGCTCTTTCAGCACGCTCCTGGGCCTCTAGAGCTGCCTTTTCTTGAGACCTCCTCAGCCTTTCACTCGACCTTTCATTCTCTCTTTCTTTTGCCTCCTCTTGCTTAACTAATCTTTCCTGAAATTCTTTCTCTTGTTGCCTGAGAACACGGTGCTGAACATCTTTTTCTTCTCTCCTGGTTGCTGGGTCATGAAAATAACGCTCTTTAGGATCAAAAACTTTCTCTCGCCTATTCTCTCTCGGCCGAGACGTCGCTCTGCCGCCGTTGGGTTCTGTATCCCTGAAAATTGAATCCTTCAAACCTTCCCGTTCTAACCTTTCTTTCTCCCTCAGGCGTTCCTCCTCTCTTTTAGCCCGACGACGCTCTCTCTCAATTTGCTCGCGCATCCTCCGCCTATCCTCTCTAGATGGTTTGATCTCTGGTCCCAGGTCGACAATAGTGATTTCTGGCAAAACAAAGTCGTCCTTGTTCCCAGCCTGCTTTTCTACATTCCCGTTTGGTCTCTCTTCTCCAGAACTAGGTTGCCTAGAAGACTGCCTTTCCACTTCTGCACGCGGCTGAACCTTCTGACTAGAATGAGATCTCTCAGTCCCAGAAGATCGTGATTTTGAACTAGAATACTTATCCGTTTCAGAGGATTGTGACGGCTGGCTGGGTTGGTGTTTTGGAGTTCCAGAGGACTTTGGGTTACTAGAGTGATGCCTGTCGGAGCCAGAATACTGCCTTGCAAGAGGAGGCAGTGGAGGAGGTGGTCTAGATGGGGGTGGGAAAGGCGAGGGCTTAGTAAGAAGCCTAATTTGGTCAACAGTAAGCCATACCTCAGTTGATGGCTCCTGCTTCCTCCGAGCTCTACGTGATTCTCCAGACCCTCCAGCTGCGGGCATGTTCACCTCAAACTTGGTAAGGGGCTCATCAATATTCGGCGAAGAACCATTAGAACGGTTGACATCAATGCGTGTAGATCTGCGAGATCCCCTGAGTGCAAATGAAGGAGATGCCGTAGGACTCTCAGTAGAATTTAAATCAAAACCCCTTCGAATAGGTACACCTTCTTCTGCACTCGTACTCACTCCATGAGACGATGGATAGCTTTGAGAGTCCGGAGCGAAAGGACCAGGTCCTGAGTTGGAAGAATCCTTCTGCTCCGTGCTGGCAGTCGCAGGGGTTTTCGGGGTTTTGGGAAACGTCTCCAATGAGTCGAGCAATATCCCTCCAGAGTCTGGCTCGGAACTCGACATCTTAAGCGGACTGGGTCGTTTTGTGGGCAAATCTGTGCTAGAAGGCACATAAGGCTCATTGAGATCTGGAAAAATAGGGTCGTTTGAAGCGGGTGCCGAGAATCCAGTATTTGAATCCGTTCTTCCAATGGATTCTGCTTCAGAACCATCCATGGAAAGGGATGATGCAGCTGAATTTGTCATGTGATTTGACTCAGAATTCAACCTGCTTTCAGTCGAACCACTCGCCCTCTCTCCAGGTGAGGTCTCAAAGAGGGAACCTCCGACATTAGGAGTGGATTGTGGCGCTGTTCCTGCCGTTCTAGAGCGTCCGAATCCTCTCATAAAACTGCCTTTCAGAGGGCTGTCAGACTCTGTCGATGGAATGTATTTAGAGTTTTGCGACGTGGGACTATCATAGGAACTGGGAACTGATCCAGCCTGGCTCTTGATTTTAGACTCTCTTTCAAGAGAATCTAAGAATTCTTCTTCTGTAGACCGTCTCCCATTTTCAGGTTGAGATGGCCTTCTCACAATATCATCTTTTAGGGCTTCTGTACAAATCGTCAAAACAAAGAAAATCAAAAACCATTCTTTCGCAAATCAAGTACTGATTGGACACGTCACTTACACGTTAGAAACCATGGCATAAGAGCATTCAAGCAAAGTAAACGAAGCACACCAGAAGTGGCTCTAGGATTACAAGAAGGACGCAAGACTGGAATCAGCCAGATGAAGATAACAGAAGGATGAACCGATCAATGACAACAAGAAGTTTCTGATTAGCTGTTAACTTCGGACGTAACTTTCGGACTTAATATAAAGATTGGGGTGCATACCTTGCTCCTCAATATTTTGAGAAGGACGTTCGTCTGGACTTGAATTATTTTGGTAGAAAACGGCAGGAATATCCTCGCTGTACGGGCTGTCAGAAGATCGAGATGTTGATTTGCCGAAGCTACCATCCAAAACATCAGCTAAGATTGAGCTTGAAGCAGGACCTGATCTAGGCCCAGTAAAAACCTCTTCATATCCTCCCACAATTGTACTTCTGAAAGATAAACAGCCATACTGAGTGCAAAGTTAAACTTAAACCTAGCCACGCCAACTGTCACCGTAAAACGAGAGCTGTAAACCCTCGAATCTTTTCAGTGCACGGTTTCAGTGACAGATATTATGGCACAAAGTGGCAGAAGGATTCTATCGAGCAGTAAGTGCCCAGTTCATGTGAAGCGCTAACGCTCAAGCTTCAAAATTATATCCAATTCTTAACTGGTGAGACATTAGCCGTCCAATCAACTCATTGATGTCCGGAAAAACACTACTTCGTGAGCTCCAGAGAACAATTGTCTGCGACTATTCTGAGACCTAGTACTTAAATACCCCAGTAAGTTAGTGCGGAAGCAACCAACCGGAAATAGTGAAAATCTTAAGGATATTAGAAATTTCGTAATAATAAAGTGGGCGTGACGACAATGTGCAATGCAAATAAAAAGTACTGCTACTTACAACAAGAGCTCGGAAAATAAATTGAACATGAATATCATTTATAGAGATTGCTTACTTAGTAGGTACGCGAAAACCCTGATCAGGCGCACTCTCATACGTCGATGGCGGATCTGTTTGTCGGGTGCTCGATTTATTCGATCCATTTTGTCCTTGAGAGTAGGCATCGATGCTGTCTCCTGCCGCGAACACTGCGGCAGCAGCAGACTGATTAATACGCCCAAGTCCACTTCCAACGCTCTTTCCTCTGTCCAATGCCCTCGCAGGTCTATCTTCTGACCGAGGCCCCAAGGATGCTGATTTCCCCACAGCCTTCAATCCATAGTTTCGCTGCAAAATGTTGGCGAACTGATCCTCCATTTTCAATTGCGAAACTTTCAAAATGATTTCTCACTACTTCCGCACTGTTCTCTGTACTAAGACACTATATTCGGCCATTGATGATAATGAGCTGCAGATGTTCTCACAAATTTCACCGCATCTGCACTGAGAAGGAATGTTGTGAGAACTCTTAAGGACATTGCCTTCCTACGGATGTCATTCACTGCGTGTTTGTTGCAGCGACTCATTACTAAGGCAGTACGAATCACCAGCGCTCCAATGTCATCCACCCCAACCTAACAAATCACAAATACGAAAACACTGAAGTCCGCCGACTATGGCTTGATCACATATTTCCGAACCCGCCACACCACAGAAACTGATCACCACATTCAGCTGACCTAAGGTCATTACAGGCATCCCCGATACGCACATTACTCCCAGTGCCACTTTACCCTCAGAATCTGGAGCTTGAAGCACGCTCTACATTCCATTCCTACTATCATCCTCTCACGCCCCAACGAACCCCTCCCCAATCCCCCCCCCCCCCCAAAAAAAATCATGAAGAAACCTTGCCCGACTCTTCCTCTTCCAAAAAATAACCGTTCACAACACCTGCATCGCACCACCACGGACTCACCAAACTCAACATTGATCCCATCCCCCTCTAAACCCTGAGAAATATCCTCGTACCCTGGATTACGGCACGTCGTTGTCTTCTTCCAGATCCTCTACGATCTCCACACGCCTCGCCGTCCCCGGCTTCTGCTGCTCGCAAACCTCCTCCAACACTGTCACCACTCATCCCAGCACGGCATTACCAACAATGCTCCGCTCTCCCCACCTTGATTACACCCCACCAGCACGACACTCTCATCCCGCGGCCAGATCCCATCGACTCCCTACACTCCACCCCACTCCACTCCCTGTCTACCTAATCCGACCCACCCGCTCTCAAAGGCACACAACCCTCCTCAGCGTAAACCGTACCCAACGCCTGACGCCCAAAATATTTTTACTAAAAACGTCCCGCTCTAAACGCTACGCTATTTCAGGAGCGAGTAGCGCGTCTAGATATGCGGATTCAGCGCAAGCTAGCTCGGGGCAGGGCATTAATAAGCAATGACAGACACTGGCGATGGCGGACGGGGCTGTACACATGCGTGATTTCTGCATCACAACCACCACCAGCAGTGGGGGGAGGGAAGTCGCAGCTTCCAGATCCACAACCTTCAATCCCACAATCGTTCGAGCGTGCCAGGCGAACGAAAGCTCTCACCCCACTTCGCGTTGCTTGCTCATGCCCCGAGCACCTCCTCCTCCTCCGTTTTAGGGTTTCGTCAGTCCCCCAACCCGATCGCGTTTCGCCGGGTCGCCTGCGTCGTGGATGCATTCGCCCCAGGTAGGTTCCGTTCACAGGAGCCCCCACCAGCCAGTGACAGGCCACGCTCCACGCTTGCACCGGGTGGAGAAGGATCGCCGCGAATACTGGGCGTGGATGAGTGAGGCTTTCCGTGACTTTTCAAGCTCTTTTAAGAAGGCCCCATGAATCGTCTTGCTTTCTGGGTTCAATCATATAATGCAACATCAACTAAATAAAATACTACACCAACAACTGGGGTGCATGACTTGTATCCAAACATTGTTCCTCGGCTCCAAGTATGAATTTGAAATAAAAGGCAAGTGATGTTGTGTAGACTTTGATGTATTGGTGAACTACTTTTGTGCATGATTTGTTGTTGCTATTCACAATGGTACAATGATGTGTGTTTTTCTTTTTCATTTTTGTCTTTTTTGTTTGGTTTTCATGCTTTCTTTTTACAAGTTCAACATTTTATCATTACTTTTGTTAAAGACACAAGCAGCACAGTCTTGTTTTATGAAAGTTTTTTAGAATCAGTTTGGCACTCTTGATTGAATGATTTTGTTTTCAACTTTCTAGACATTACAAAATTTTATTTTCAGTCTGTGAGTTTTAATCTAAAGAAAATTTGGTGTAGATCTTGAAAGTATTCAACACAGTAATGCATGAATGTGGTCTCTTCTTTCTAACATATCTTGCTTATGTTTAAGTTTGTTGATTTCACTGTTTGAAAAATGCAAAGCCTTTATGAATCTTTGAGTTGTTATAGATATAATAAAAAAAAAATTATAAATTTTTATATAATTTTAGATTGAATAAATGAATACAACATAAATCATTGCTATTATTATCTACAAATCATGAATTATAGATTTACTAATAATAGTAATATTTTGACAAACTTTTTTTATTTTGCATTGATGTAATAAAAAAGTAGAATAGAGAATTCGAAGGTGTTTTAAAATAAAGTAAAATAAAAATAAGTAATTTCTATACATTAAAATTTTAAATATATATTATGCATGTATAATTGCCATTGTAAAAAAATTACTAAATAATAATTACATAATTAATAATACCAATATATTTTTTAAATAACTTTTATTTATAATTATATTTTGTTACAATATTTGAGTGTTTGCATTGTTAAGGCTAGAATATCTTTAACACTTCAAGAGAGTCTTTACATCTAGAAATCCATGATACAATGCCATCATACAAAAGCCTTATAAAGGTCTCTTAGTTAGTAGAGAAAATCTCCCTTTTACAAGCATTTGCTCATGGAGATAGTATAAAGTAAAGAAAGACCAAAACATAAAGTAAGTTATTATTTTATAGTAAGTCTAACTATATCAACTTAAAATATTAATTTTAACTATTACTAATATTAAAAAATGGTTTTTTACTTAAGCTTCTATTTTTAAAGAAATTGATACAACTCCTTAATTCTTTTATAAAAATCCAACTCTTGAAATGAATCTACTGCAAGTTCTTTCTCTTTCATCTAAATTTTGAAACTTACAAATATTTGATTTGGTTATTTTTTTCTTCTTATGTTACATTAAATTATATTTTTATATATTATCTAATAATATAAAAGAATAAAAATATATAAAAAATCCTAAAAAATATATTTCTTATTTATCTATTAAATTCCAATATAATATTTTACTGATTTATTTTTAAAATCTTAACTTTAGGATAATAGCACATCATAAATTCTAACTTTTGACAATATTTTGTTTAGGTAAATTTACAAATTATGTTAAATTATTTAATAGATTTTAGAAATTTATAGTTTTGTTAGAAAAATCTACTGTTTTTAGACAATACCTCATATTTATAGACCAAACCATAAACATGTTAAATATATAAATATAATAGTCATTAGATTTGTTAAACAACATACATTGTTCCAATCAAGAGAATTTGTACAAATCTTTACTAGTTTTTAGACTATTACACTTCTGAAATTATATGAAGTATGTAACCAATTATTATTGTTACTTTTTTAAATATTTTTTAAACCAAAATACATATTAGAAAATAGAAATTTTATCTCACATATCTGAATAACATACCAAGGCTTTAATATATCTAATACAATAATATGCATCATCTAACAATAATATTGTCTACATACAAAATATCAAATATCAAATATCAACTTAAAAAAATATTATTAAAAAAATTCAATAATTTTATTCAATATCATTATAAATTCTTGCAAAAACATTATTATATTTATAAGTAAATATTTAAAAATTTATACCACTATTTAAAACCATTGCCATTTTGACATTATATATTATAATACATTATAATAAGATTATTTTTTATTTTTCATTAATAAAAATATTATTGTGTTATATTTTAATAACATTTTTCTACTATATATTCTAATAATACTTGATTTCACTTCACAACATTATAAACAATACAACCATAAATAAGCACATTATACTATTATTGTTTTAAATCTCTACTACAAATATCAAAAGGAATTCAAAACTAAAATTTGAGATTTGTATACAAATATATATATATATATATATATATATATATATATATATATACTATGATATTTTGTTTAACTAAAAACATAAAAAAAAAAAAAAAAAAAAAAAAAAACATTTGGCTATCTTATCTTTCTTTTTCTTTTTCTTTTTCTATTTAGTATGTATTTAGTATGTCTTGTATTAACTATCTATAACAAAAGATATTTTGTATATAAAATGATTTCTATTATATTATAAAACCGCATTTATAGATAAAATTAATTTTTTTTAGATACTATATATGCTAGTCTTTACAAAAGCATATGTTTATGAATACATAATAAGATAATATATAATATCATACTATTGGATAAAAATATCAAATTTAAAGAATTAAGTCAAAATCATCTTTAAAAATCTATATATTGTAAATAAACATAAATGGTTTATTATTTGTTTTATTTTTAGTTGAATGATGCTATTTATTTGATGTCAATAAAAATAGATAGATAGTATCTAAAATACAATCAATGTATTGTTAAAAGTTTTGTCAATAAAAATCATCAATTTAAAATATAAAATTAAAAGATTATATACAAGAATATATATATATAATATTTAAATAGTGCATAGATTTTGTAAATATATAACTTATGTGATTTAATGACAAATACTAATAATTATTAATATAAGGATAATTATTATAATAATTACAAGTTTTAAAATCTCTCTCTCTCTCTCTCTCTCTCTCTCTCTCTCTCTATATATATATATATATATATAATCAAGGTTAACAAAAGCTATTAGATTGAATCTAGTAGATTTGAGATTTATTAATAGAAAGAATATTAAATATATAGAATACAACATAAAAGACCTAAAATATTTCATTAATACTATCATTCAACCATTTTAATGAAAAATATATTATTTTCTATAAAAGCCACCTAAAACTACTCTAGTAGTATGTGTCATTACCAAATTTATTGAGAATGTTAAAATAAAATAGTCAAGTTAAATATCCAAGAAAAAATTATATTTTTTTAATTTTTTAATATAATTATTTGAATTTAATGAAGCTAGCTATTAATAAATGATTTTAACTCTAAATTTAATTAAAAAAATAATATTGGCTATCTTTAAATACACTTAATTTAAGTGATGAATATAATTGTACAATGAGCATATATACATGCTATCTTTGATATTCATGCTGTAAATAAAATATTAAAAAAATATTCTAGTTTATTTTTTGAATTATATATCATAAATTTTTTTATTCATATAATAGTAAAATAAATATTTTATAGTGTTAAGCTTAGTATCCACAGTATTCTTTATTTAATCAATTTTTAAAAAACATATTTGAATTCAAGGATAATACAATTATTTTAATATATCAATCTTAGTATTATTTTGATCTATTAAATCATATAAAAGATACATTTAAATGTTCCTCAATTCCTACAAAATAATCTTATTATGTAATTTTATCTAAGATTTATAAAAACGTTATAAAAAAATTACATGTATTTTTTGAATTTTTACTTTATATATATATATATGTAAGTTTAAGCTAAATAGATGTTGGTACACACACACACACACACACACACATATATATATATATATATATATATATATATATATAATTTTTATCATTTAAGTCGAGAATTTAAAAATATGTTTAAAAGGTGATTTTTTTTCATGAAAAATCAAAGAAGTTTTTTAAATATAAATCAAGTTAATCAATATGTGATGCCTCTATAATTAATTATTTGAGAAGTTGTCTACTTTTTGAAAGCTATCATAGAAATGTCTTGTAATTTAGATATTTGGCATACAAGCCTTTTGACCTTTAAGACACTACCACATGGTTTCTTTTGTTATCAACTATATTTTGAGTTAATATTGAAGTCATCTTTAGTATTGTCAATGCTTTTTTGTACACCAGTGTTACCTCAATCTGCTTTAGTCTTTTGTATTTGATAACATCTATTCCAATGTTTTACAATTTTATCTCTTTACTATGTAATTATTATTATTATTATTATTATTATTATTATCTTTCTCCTTTTTTAGTTTAATATAACTTTTTTTTCTTTGAACAATGTTTTTAGATTTATATAGTTAACAAAAAAAAAAATCAAGATTGATAAAAAATAAAAAAAATAAAAAAATAGTCAATAAAATTGCATAATTAAAACTAATATTTAATACGATCAAAAGTCTTATGCTTTTTAAATAAACAAAAAGAAGTTTTTCACCAATCTAATCAAAGTTGGAATTTTTCTTGAAGTCATTGTATTAGCTTTGAAATTGCAACTATAGATGCATGGTGCCTTTCAAATATCCAATACTATTCTTTATAATCATTTTATAATTCTCTTCTAATCTAGCCATGTGCTGATTTGTAGTACTAATGGCAAATTTAAGATTAATCTTATATCTACCATTGTCTATATTAATAAATTAATTTTAATTGTAGATTT